TTTTAGATATCTTGAAATTTTTAAACATTTTTTTTTAAGGTATGGCAGAATACATCCTAATTTTATTTATTTTAAAACATTTTTTTTTCTTTTGTCCTTTTCCTTATGACTTTTTCTTATTGCATGGGAGTGATTGGAGGTAATTTTGTTCTGTTGTTCTTTGGTTTTGTTTTGTTCTTTTAACCCAAGGGAATTGTATGGTTTGTTTCATATGTATCACATTGTATTTGTATGGCTATGCAATTCCTGTTAAAAACCAAATAAACAAAGTTTGGAAAAAAAAAAAAAAAGTGACAAATGGCTAAAGGCGGTGTCCGCGAAAAGTCCATTAAGTGAAGTGATTCTTGTCTAGAGCTTTTATTTTGAAATCAGCAGATCAACTTCCCTTTTGTAGTTTATTGGAGGTATATGAAGTGTATTGTGCTCATGCTTTAATAGATGTTTATTTTTTATTCTTTATTTTTTGCAGGTTTTATGCAGCAGAGATAGCCGTTGGCTTGTTTTTTTTGCACCGGAAGGGAATCATCTACAGGTGGGTTACATGTTTATTTTACTCTTGTGTTTTCAAGCAACTAGTGTGGCTAAACCTAAGGTGAAAGCTCTGGGATAAATCTTGTGCCAGCAGGAACTGAATTTGGATTGCTCGAATGTGCATAATTTGAAATTGAATGCATTGGTTTGAAAATAAATTTCACCAAATTGAAACTGAATTTAATGATTTGAAACTGAATTTAAAGTTTTGAATTTGAATTAATTTGCTTTGAAACTGTATTTTGGTTTATTAAAAATTCAGTCTGACTACTTTCACTTTCAGTTCCAAAATTCAGATTTTTGTGTCACATCCTGGTCCTCGAGAAAGCCAGCCAGAGTAATCAAACACAGATCCACAGATTTATGTTTCACTTTGGTGAAGTTTCCCTTCTGTAATGCAACATAGTTGATGCAATCCACCGTAAAAGTGACAAAAACAGAATTATTTTATTGCAGGGATTAATTTCATCTATAGAAAATGTTACATTTACATCTCATCATGGATCAGTCAGCAGCATCATCTGATCAGTATGTGATCCATGATGAGACGTAAATGTAACATTTTCTACCTATAGGTAAAATTAATCACTGCGATAAAATAACTGTCTGTTTTTGTCACTTTTGTGGTGGATTGCATCAACTCTGTTACATACAGAAAGGAAACTTCACTGAAGTGAAACCCAAATCTGTGGATCTGTGTTTGTTTACTCTGGCTGGCTTTCTCAAGGACCAGGATGTGGGACACAAAAATCTGAATTATGGAACTGAAATTGAAAGTAGTCAAAATGAAGTTTTAATAAACCAGAATACAGTTTCAAAGCAAATTAATTCAAATCCAAAACTTTAAATTCAGTTTCAAATGTAATAATTGCAATTTTCCCCCCGGGATCATTAAGTATTCTGATTCTGATTCTGATTCTGATTCTGAAAGCATTAAAATAAGTTTCAATTTAGTGAAATTAATTTTCAAACCCATGCATTCAATTTCAAATTATGCACATTCAGATTCAATCAGAGCAATTCAAATTCAATTCCTGCTGGCACAAGATTTATCCCATAGAAAGCCTCTGTGTCTGTTTCACACAGATTATTGGAAGATTTTTTCACATGTTAAATGACGAGATCAGGAGATAATGTCCAAAAAAGGAGGAAATTAAGATGTTAAAGAGGAAATGAGTGAAACAAATGAACAGTTGCTGCTTTGAAATTGATAACAATTGTTTACAGTTAAACATGAGTCACAGCAGCGTTCTCTACAGAAAACAAATGTCAACCTTTTTTCTCCCCTCGACTTCACCTCTTCGTTTGTCATCCTGAGTTTATTTTTTGATGAAAGTGTGTTCCATAAAAGTGTTTCATGAGGTGAAGCAACACAATTCAAAACACGAGCAAAAGGTTCAAGCTGAACTCTGAGAAGCAAAACAAGCGCAGAGGACCAAAAGCCGATGGGAAAATAACACGTTACTCATCAAATGACGTGAGCCGCAGATAAACGCGGAGCTCAGACATGTGAGGTTGTGCTTTTTACTGGAGGGCATTTAGAAATGTTTCAGCACAAACGCTGTCTGTGCTGCAGGGATCTGAAGCTGGACAACGTGATGCTGGACTGCGAGGGCCACATCAAGATCGCAGACTTTGGCATGTGCAAGGAGAACATGTACGAGGGGATGTCCACACGCACCTTCTGTGGCACCCCGGACTACATCGCACCCGAGGTGAGGCGTCCGCCATGTTTAAAGGAACTCACATGGCGTCTTTATAGTCTCAGAGATCTACCATCATGTGACCCCTTATTAACCCCGTGAGGAATTTGTTTTCTATCGCTGAAAAATTAAAGGAACAATTCAGCACGTTTTGTTCTACATAGTTATTACATAAAGTCCTACCATTTGTGATGAACGCAGCAAATAAGATTGACTTTTGGATATTTGAGATCAGACAAGGAAACAGAAAAAATAATAAACATACTTTAGTTTTTATTTTCTCACAATCAATAGCTCCCATATTTATTTCAATGACTTGGTGTGAACTTTTGTGTAGTTTTAGTTAGTTGTAGATTTAGATTAGACGTAGAAATGCAGCGTGAATGCTGAGAGCTGAAACAAGAAAACTAATAAAACAAGAGATAAAATTAGCAAAAGGGAAGCTAAAATCTAAAATGAGCAAAACACCATCAAAATCTAAAATAATCAAACCAGTAGCTAAAAGCTAAAATTTGCTAACGAGTTGTTAAAAACTGGATTTAAAGCAACAGCTTAAAGCTAAAGTCATCAAACTGGAAGCTAAAAGCTAAAATTACCAAACGTGTAATTACATGAAAGCTAGAATTAGCAAAACAGTAGCTAACGTCTTCTCGGCTGAACTAACCCAACAATGGAGAAGGTTTCTTTTTATTTCTAATTTTCATTGAGCTAAAGTTTCAGTATTTCATATTTATAGAATCTTGTAAAAAACAAATAATTTTACATTTTTTTCATGAAGCTGATAAACAAGTTATAGTTCACGAGGAAACATTTAAATGATTTCATTTGTGTGTTAAAAGAAAACACAGCTGTGTTTTTAGCTTTTTGGGCGTGCATCTGTGTGATTGTGCAGTGTGTGTGTGTCGAGTGTGCGTGTGTAAGGGGGAGGGAAGTGTGGGCTGGTAAATTGGCTGGTGGGAGAAAAAAGCTTTTGTTATGGCAGCTGGAAATAGCTGATTGTGTTTAGCAGAGGTTGATTTGGTTGTTTGAGTTGAGGAAAATGCTTTAGCTGGATTTTTGTCCCATGTCTTCACTGTAAGCCCTCTCGGGCAGAAAATGCAGTAACCTTGTTTCTGTTTCCTCTCAGATCATAGCTTACCAGCCTTATGGGAAGTCAGTGGACTGGTGGGCTTACGGAGTCCTCCTGTATGAGATGTTAGCGGGACAGGTAAAGAGTTCTTTACAATAGAGCCCAAATTTTTTTTTATTAAAATAATTTAATGTATGTGATTTCAAACTTACAGAAAAACAGACTACCTTTGTAAAGCTCAAACCTATATTATGCCTTTCCTTTTTTTTAATTTGTGGATTTGTACCTTTCCAGTTTGTTTTTGGCAAAAGAATTGTTTACTTTTATCTCCAGAGATAATTTTTCTTGGAACAGAAAGTCACATCTGGCTCCTACATCTGAAATGTGTTCCTATAAAAAAAAAAGGCTGCAAATTGTCCAAATTTCTATTTGAGCCTTCTGCCGCTGCTTTTGTCCTTTCCAGCCACCATTCGACGGAGAAGACGAGGACGAGCTGTTCCAGTCCATCATGGAGCACAACGTGTCCTACCCCAAGTCCATGTCCAAAGAAGCTGTGTCCATCTGTAAGGGGGTGAGTGGTGTTTACACCCAACAGGAGAATGAGGTAGAACATCTCCGTTAAACGTGCTCTGAGGCTGAGACGTTTCACGGCTTCCTGCATGAAGCAGTTTTGCTGTTTGACAGCAGGTGTTTGCACTCTGACAGCTAGTTTTACACTGAAAACTGAAACCCGTCGGCTGCTGCTGAGGAGTTACGCAATCGTCAGGAGACACACGCACGTCCCTACCCTCTGCTGAAACTAAAATAACCTCCGATTCTCCCGACTCGTCTCAAGTGTTTCTTTTATTAAACACAGACATGGAGATGTTTCAACAAAAACTAATCGGCCCCAGTTGTTGTTGTTTTGTTTTTGTTGTCGCACTGGTGTAAACTCAGAAAGGCAGATTAAAATCAAATGATCCGAGCAGCATAAAGGCACGAATGCTGTTTTTATTCCACTTTTCCTTTTATCATGAGGGGATAAATGATCCGATTTGTATGTACCAGGTGTATTAAACAGGAGTTTTATATTTTATTTAATATTTCCTTTTCAAAGTGTCTGTGTTCACTCAGATATTTTAGAAAATAATTTCATGCTGGAAAATGAGCATGACTTGAAGATTTAATTATGATGTGAGCTTGTAAACTCTTTTAAACTGCACCATTTGATGTATTTCAGGACTACATTTACATACTGAATAATCCTTATAAAATAAGCTTTAATAATCAAAGTAAATTACACGATTTTCCCTGAAACACTCTAATCCTGGATTATTAAGATATTCTGCCATTGTTTTGTCAATTGTTTTTCAAGTAACACTTTATTATTTTTTAACAATTATAATAAAATTATGTGCAATGATCCTCAGCTACAATCACACCAAGTTTTAGCACAATATTTGTAAATTCTTCTGAATTATGTGTTTTTGCTTRGGCTGAAGTCGATCAGCTTTAGCTGCCATCTTGAACAGGGCTGACTCAGAAAATTAATGAGCTGTAGATTTACACCCAGGAATTATTTCCTGAAAGTTTCATTAAAACCCATCCACAAAACATTATTGTCCACTTTTTCACCTTTCACAAAGTTATTGTTTAGCCTGAATTTTCTTTCTTTTTTTTTTCTTTTTCCCTTTTTTGAGTCTTAATTTAGAACTCCCGTGTTTGTCTCACATCTGGACTGCTCATCGTCACGGCGAAGCGCTGATTTTCACGTTCCTGATTATTTGCAGACAAGGAAATGAACTTTCAGAGTCAATTACCAAACCAGAGAGACGATTATGTTAAGCGTCAGACTCAGACTGATGGAGACTTTTAATATTTGTCATGACATCCTGAGGTTGGCTTCCTGTCACACAACATGAACAGCTGACAAAAGAGATTGCATTCCTGTTGTTGTTTATTTCACYTTTTATTTAAAAAGAATGGCCAGAACAGAACATGATTACTGAATCTGAAATAACTATTTGAAGTAATGTTAACAGCTGATTTACTGTCAGATTCTGCACAAAGCTGCTGAATAACTGTTGGTTTAAACCAGAGGAACTGTGGGAAAACTGAGTGAGTGACTTCAAAAACATTTGCTAAAGAATGAAAGATAAAATAAGAACAGAATCAAAAATTTGTAAAAAGCTGCAAAACTGTAGCTAACGTCTAAAATGTGCTGCTTTAAGCTAAAAGTAGCATTAGAAGACAAAAAAATTGTGTTTTAAGGATTTGAGTTCTCATTTTGTTTTTGTGTGGAAATCTTTTGTAAATAAAGTTAAATAAGTCAACAAGGTTAAAAGTTACAATTAGTAAAAGTCACAGCACTCTTTTTTCAATCCAGCTGAAAATATTCAGAAGTTCAGTTTCATTCCTTCTCTTCGACCTCTGCTTCGTCCGTTTCTTATTCTGTAAAAGGACCAAACTGTTTGCATCACGTCTTTTTCCTCTGTCCCTGTTTGTCTCCAGCTGATGACGAAGCACCCGTCGAAGCGCCTCGGCTGCAGCCCTGAGGGCGAGCGGGACATCCGAGAGCAGGCCTTCTTCAGACGCATCGACTGGGAGCGTCTGGCCAACCGAGAGATCCAGCCGCCGTTTAAACCCAAAGTGGTGAGTAAATCGTGCAGAAATGTCAGTCACTCACGGTCAGTTCTTAATAACTTGCCCTTTGGTAAGAATCCCTCTGTTTAACTTCTTAAAGATTTCTCTCCTTTATTCTCTAAAAAAGGGTTTTTATTTTGTTGGGTGACTTTTTTCTGGCATTCACTGACATTTGTCGCTGCCTGAGAAGCTCTTTTGTGGATTTTGTGGTGTCTTTTGGTTGGTCCTCAGCAGTTTTGAAAGTTTAAATAGGGAAGCGCTTTCACAAACCCAGACCATGATTGAACCGCCTCCATGCTTTACCTATGAATAGGTTATTTTATTGGGATTCTGCTGTTTTTTCCAAATATATATTTGATAAAGTCTCTTGGATTTTCCTGTCTAATTATTCTTCATCTGCAGAACCTTCTCAGTCCTGTTAGACTTTGCGTTCACCACTGCAGCTGCTTTGAGGAGCATTTTTTATGAGCTGAAGACCAGCTGTGTGAAAACATTTTACAATCTTCATATAACATTCTGCCATACTGTGGCATGAATATTTAAAAAATCAAAGCGCTTCACGGCTGCTCAGGCAGGTCAAAAGATACTTGGATTTACCAAAAATACAAATATTTGCAAATGTGCTGGTCCCTTTCGACTAATCCTGGAAAACAGAATTGTTAACAAAAAAATTTCAAGTCAAAAGTATCCAATTGGGAGGAATTTCAAATCATGTTATGGTGGTTATCACATTTTTTAATTTTGTTTTTTTTTTATTATTTAAGCAGTAAGAGGTTTAATAAGATTTGTTCTCTCTGCACCTTCTTCATTCAGTAAATGATTCACTTTGTTTTTAATGGGCTTTTTGTTGTTTTTATAAATGAAAAAAAATGACTAAATAAAAAAATGTTGGTTAAAAAAAGTGTTTATTATTTTTTTCTTTTCACATTTCTTTTTTGGGTTTTTTGGTGATTTCCTGAAGGTTATTTTTGTCATTTTAAATCATTGCTGAATAATTCAAAGAACTCCTCAGAGTTCCCAGGAGCGTATGCATGAGCGGCCGTGCATTTGTGATCACATTCATCTCCAGCAAATGTGTTTGTTCGGTGTTTTCTGCACGCAGCAGAGCTGGAAGATGAATCTCAGCTGTGGCCACCTGCAGCCCACCCCTCTCCCCAAATATCTGCACCTCCTCCTGTCGCCACCAACGCTGCTTTTCTGTTCTCTGACCCCCGCATCCTTCATCCCCTCTGTGCCCAAATTGCCTGAAGCACTGCCACCGAGGGATAAAAATAGCTTTAAGAGCAGTGTTTCATTTTAGTTGCACACACGTAGAAATGCTGCCTTGCATTGTGGCTGTATCACACAGTGGATGCATTCATTGCTGGTTGTGTTGCAGTTGTGAGCTCACAGAAGACCTTTTCGCACTGCAAGTCCCGGCCTCGGGGCCAGCCTGGCTTTAAACCCGGGTTCAGCGTGTTTGTTTTAGCCCTTATGGCCCAGTTCCACCCCGATTTCTGGAACCCTGAAACCTTTGGTTCGGTCTGGGCCGGGATACTCGGCCCGTTTTGACACCAGCTACTGCTGCTCATTGATTGGTTCACTGACTGGGGGGTTACGTCACACAGATGAGAGAAACTTTTGAATCGTTTGCAGCAAATGTAATATTTTTTTCACACGAGTTTAACCAAGCTACAAGAATAAATAAATTAATAAATAAATAAAAATAAAAAATCACAAGTTAACATGCGCTACCATTAACTTACCATTCTCTGTCCTGCCCTCTCCTCTTAGTCATCATACTGCTGGATGGTCCAGTTCAATGTTCAGTACTTTGTCTTTGAGTTTAGTGTAGTCCATTAATGTTGTGTTGCAAATAAAATGAAATAAGATTTCTGCGTGTTAAATTGTTTGATCCTACCCACATCAAGGCAGCTCTCTGCTCAATGCAAACACAACCAGGGCTAGGCGGGGCAGGCTGAGCTGAGCCTTACAATGCTAAAATACCTAGACTGCATCACAAATCGGTCTGAAAAAGCAGATCTGAACTTTTACAGAGGACCTGAAGAAGGCTTACATTTAAATTTTTAAGTCAGACACTGACGCTAATGACCTCCACCACCTGTTTACATAGTTCACTTCTGATCTAATTACAGCTTCTGCCAGGCTAAATACAGTATTGACATTTTCCTTCACCACTCTCCCGCTGAGGCGGCTCAGAAGCTTACTAAAAGTGGGAAAAGCCTTTCATCACAAGCCCACAACCTTTTTCTACCCTTTTACTGTCCGCCCGTCAAAAACGCTGCCCTCCGTCTAACACCCTTCTCATCTCTTTCAGTGTGGAAAGGGGGCAGAGAACTTTGACAAGTTCTTCACACGCACCCAGCCTGTGCTGACCCCTCCAGACCAGCTGGTCATCGCCAACATCGACCAGAGCGAGTTCGCCGGCTTCTCCTACATCAACCCTCAGTTCTCCCATCCCTCTTTGCACAGCGTGGTATGAGGCGGCGAGACCTGTCCAGCGAGCGTCCCCCTGCTGTCAAGAGACTCCTATAATCCTCTAGCTTTTTGTGTCTTAAACACTTAACCAATTCCTGTGCACCGAGACACCCGAGCAGAAAGGAGCAAAAAAACCAAAAGGTTCAGAGTGTCGCTGATGACGGGCGGGGAGAGAAAACTGAACCACGGCGCTGATGTCCACAGCGTTTCACACTGTTTCTTAGCCCGAACCTGCATTTCCAAACACACAGCTGTAGCTTTCAACACATCTACAGCCTTTTACCTTGTGAATGAATGTGTCTCGGTATCAGTTACTTGCTCTTTCGGTGTTAAACAGTTTAATCCCACGTACGTTCCTTGTCTTGCAACAAGCTGCAATGCACAAAAAGAGCAGATATTTTTTCTGTGCTTTACACCTGTATGTTTCTCTACTTTTAAAAAAAAAGTGATGGTATGCTGTTACACGAGTGCCAATGTTGAGATGAAAAAAAAGCATTTCTACTAGAGTTTTTAAAGTCCTTGTGATGTTTTCTTCCTCCTTCTGGCCTTTCTGGATGGTGTTAAAGCACTAAACACCCTTAAATTGGGTCTGTTTGTATTTGTTGTTTTGTTGTTAGTAGATCAAAATGGGGACGGAGAAACAGAAGCAGGACGCCCGAGTCTTTTTCGGCGCATGCAGATGTTTCCCGCGGTGAAGAAGTCAGAAACGTGTGAATGAAGCAGACGGTGTTTTGAAGTATTAAGATACTATTTTCATATGCACAAAGCAGATCTCTGTCGCATGCTTGTTTTCTGACTCCGTATGAGCTGTAGAGTTTAGGATGCAGTGTTGTATCACTGTAAAGTTTAGCATCAAATTAATTCTGTCAATATATATCTGTTCCATGTTGACTCTGAAGAAGAAGAAAAAAAACAAGAGTTCTTTGTTTTATGTTTTATTTGAACTTTTCTGTCCAGACATGTCTCGAATATTAGTTTTCTTTTATGTAAATACGATTCAAAAAGAGAAGTTACTTGCAGATTTTATACTACAAACTGAATGTGCTTTTACTACCATAGACGGTTTGAACATTTCTATGTTTAGATTAGACCTAAAAGTATATATATATACATAAATATATATATATACAGTTGGCTGATATTTGGTAGCTTTGATATCAGAAAACCCTGTTATAAATGTATCAAGTATTCAGTATCCAATGTTTTATACTACTCTGTGTCATATAGACAATATGCAGCACTTGTTATGCGTGGAGCAGCCGAACGCCCTCTTGCCTTGGCCATGACGGGGTCAACTCGCACCCAACTCCAACTGTATGAGGATTCTGGAGTGCCCTGTGGCCAAACATGTCCTGTCTTTTCTGATATATAGTGTGCATGCGTGAGGCAAGGCCTGACCCAAGCATGAAAACCACCCCTGCATGTTACAGAGATCCTCGCTGTAGAGTCACTCCGAAGGAGAAAAACCAACCAGCATTGTGCGTTTTCTGCTCATGTCTTTCCACGCTCGCTCATGTAGCCCAAACTGTTAAAGAGCTAAACTATTTTAAAAAAGACACACATGTAAATTGTTTAATTTGTTCATCTGTGCCAAACACTGTTTTTTGGTGCCCCACCTTGGGCGCCATGTTCTTTGAGCCCAGGTGCTTCTGTACGGAGGTGATCCGGCGCATATTGTTGATGGTAATTGATAGTTGATGGTAATTGATCTGCTCTAAGATTCAATTAGTCTGCTTTAAAGCAGTAAAGACATATTTTATCCTTGTCAGTTAGGTGTGTCCAATTTTTTATTAGAATTTTTTCTTCTTTTTTTACATCTGAACTACAGGTCCTTCTAAAAAAATTAGCATATTGTGATGAAGTTCATTATTTGTAATGTACTGATAAACATTAAACTTTCATATATTTTAAATTCATTGCACACCAACTGAAGTAGTTCAAGCCGTTTATTGTTTTAATATTGATGATTTTGGCAAAAAAGTAAAGAAAAACAAAAAATCCCTATCTCAAAAAATTAGCATATTTCATCCAACCAATAAAAGAAAAGTTTTTTAATACAAAAAAGTCAACCTTCAAATAATTATGTTCAGTTATGCACTCAATACTTGGTCGGGAATCCTTTTGCAGAAARGARTGCTTCAATGCGGCGTGGCATGGAGGCAATCAGCCTGTGGCACTGCTGAGGTGTTATGGAGGTCCAGGATGCTTCGATAGRGGCCTTAAGCTCATCCAGTGTGTTGGGTCTTYDYTCTCTCAACTTTCTCTTCACAATATCCCACAGATTCTCTTTGGGGTTCAGGTCAGGAGAGTTGGCAATGAGCACAGTAATACCATTGTCAATAAACCATTTACCAGTGGTTTTGGCACTGTGAGCAGGTGCCAGGTCGTGCTTAAAAATGAAATCTTCATCTCCATAAAGCTTTTCAGCAGATGGAAGCATGAAGTGCTCCAAAATCTCCTGATAGCTGCATTGACCCTGGCCTTGATAAAACACAGTGGACCAACACCAGCAGCTGACATGACACCCCAGACCATCACTGACTGACAAGTCTTCTCGTTGTGCAGCGTTTTCTGCCACACTTTTTCCTTCCCACAGACTTCCCACTGAGGGTTCCTTGATACAGCACTCTGGGAACAGCCTATTCGTTCAGAAATGTCTTTCTGTTTCTTACCCTCTTGCTTGAGGGTGTCAGTGATGACCTTCTGGACAGCAGTCAGGTCAGCAGTCTTACCCATGATTGTGGTTTTGAGTAATGAACCAGACTGGGAGTTTTTAAAAGCCTCAGGAATGTTTTGCAGGTGTTTAGAGTTAATTTGTTGATTCAGATGATTAGGTTAATAAGTCATTTAGAGAACCTTTTTGAAATGATGTGCTAATTTTTTGAGATAGGGATTTTTGGTTTTTCTTTACTTTTTTGCCAAAATCATCAATATTAAAGCAATAAAAAGTTTGAACTACTTCAGTTGGTGTGCAATGAATCTAAAACGTGAAAGTTTAATGTTTATCAGCACATTACAGAAAATAATGAACTTCATCACAATATGCTAATTATTTGAGAAGGACCTGTACATTAGGTTACAATGACAAAGACCAAATTAAAATTCATGAAAGTATCTTGTGTACTTATTTATCTTTAAATTAGTTTTGAACTGATGTTGCACCTGTTTTACATCTGGACCAAAATGAAGTCTTCAAACTGAATGTTTACATGTCTCACATTGAGAACCCATATAGAAAAAAAAAGAATAAAAACTTTAGATTTGTTGTGAAGATAATCAAATGTCAGGGTATAAAACCACTGCAGGCTGGAATTAGAGTCACAGGGTTGTTTGTGTTTCTTTTACTGCCCCTGCTTTGTTAACCTGAACCTTCTGGTTCCTCTGTTCATTGTGTGATGGCAAATACTGTGTATAAATAAAGTATACAGCAACAATAGCATACTCCTTGTTTTTAATCATAGGGTTGTTTGTTTATCAAAGAAATACCATCTGTCAAATCACTCAGTCTGGGTGTACATAAAAATGTTATGTATATAATGACAATTTAAATATAGGCAAATGTGTTGCTTTAAGAAAAGATCTTCCCTCTTGAAGGTTCCATCCCACGCCTCTTGAGTGTTCAGCTGCTCTTTTCTGATTTTTCTGTGCTCTCCATCAGACAGCTGCCTCCCTGCAGCTGTGAGGAGAGGAGCTGTCCTCGGTGCTGAAAACACAAACTCCTGTTTTCATCACTTTGAAGAACATCACGCGGACTGAGGTGGGTTTTATTTTCTGAACTTAAACGAAAGGATTTAACCCTTACAGGTTAAAAGTTGCTGCTTCGTGGTGTAAGTCAGGCTTCTGTCTGCTTTCTTCCTGAAAGCACCGACACGCTGCTGCTGCTGCTTCTGTTCACTCCACAGCTCTCTGAGGGAATTTACTGGCAAAACGACAAAAGAGAATTGATTTTTCCCCCTTGAAGTCTAACATTTTTCAGCTTTACCTCTTTATTCCCAACTTTGACGCGTCACTCCGAGTGTTGGACAGAAAATAACAAACAGGTAGGAGCAAACTGCATGAAGCAAAGTGAGCACAATGATGAACGAAGAACAAATCCTGAGTGACTTTGTTGCATATTTTTTTACTGTTTTGAACTAGAAATTCATGTTGATTCAGTCACAAATTTCTGTTCATCATCCTGATTAATCAGCTGCACTGTTCATGTTAAGATTGAAAAATATTTGAAGCAATTGCAAAAAGGTACACATTTCACACAAATGTTAAATTGTTAGATAAATGCTGAAGTGATAGTTTTGCACTTAAACTTTTTTCTCTAAATTTGTATTTGTTTTTAAAAGAAAAATTTTAAAAACTCAAAGGTTTTTATTTTACATTTAAAGGTATTGATTGAATTAGGAAATAATATCTATTTTAACATTTAAAAGTTTTTGCTTATTGTAATTAAATTAATGAATGACTTAAACCAAATTTCTTTGGTTTAAGTCATTCATTAATATTTATTACAACATAACAAATGTGGTGTAAGTGAAACAACACTGTCTTGGTGTGATACGTGAATATTGGGACACAAAACTTAATTTTAAGTCACTCTAAAATATTTGCTACTTGGTTGGTTTTGTAAAAATCTGTAATTTTCTGAAAATGTTACGTAGTGTCTCAAATGTTCATGAAAAGATGTGGACACATTAATGCAAAATTAATAACTAAAACATTTGAATCCACTCTCCTGGCACAAAAGTTTGTAAAACATTTTGTTTCCACTTAAGGTTTTATAAATAGGTTAGTTGTGATTTTGTTAAAGCCTTATAAAGCATTTATAAATCTAATATAATGCACTAATTATACAATGAAGCAGGTTCATGTGTTCATGTTTTTACTTGTTTCATATAATATTACTGTTAATCATTGGTTTATTGCATGTTCAAATCTTAATAATTGCATTTTTAGCGGTTTAATAACCATTCTTAAGGATGTTCTTGCTGTAAAGTCGTACTGACATTTCTTTTTAGCATGTTTCATTTATAGTTTAATCGAGTAGTAATAAGTCAAATAAGATCAATAAGTAGCTTCAGCCATAAACAGTCAAACTGACAGAAAATAAGTTCAAAAATTTGGAGCCCATCTGGTGACATTGGATAAACAAGAATTAGTGTGTGACCATGATGTAACTTGTGGCCTTAAGAACGTTAATGCAAACATTTACATGCAGAGACTGTTGGTTACTAACATGAGCAAGTCTGAATTAATTTTTATTTTTATTTTAATATTGGAATGAATGAATGACTAATTCCAGTGACTTGCAGTTAGGTATGAAGTAATTGTTAATGCTGCAGCTGTAAAACACAGGTAACCTGGAGTTGTCTTTGTCCAAAAAGCTTCGTTTTATTTATATTTTTGCTCAACTCTCAAAACAGGTAAACTGTATTGTTTAGATTGAACCATGGAGGTATATTCTTTGGATTAAACACACACACACACACACAAAAATAATAAGTGTGGCGTACCGTTGAACAGTTAAACACAAAAAACAGTATTTTCATACAGAATCTGACTCCGACAATGTCTGTATCTCTCACAAAGGGACAAGGCTGCTCAAAATGATCTTGTGGCTATGTATTAACTAAAGCATGGTCATGTGTTATTATCTCATGACCATGATTTTTTTTATCCAATGTCACCAGGTGGGCTCCGTAAAAATGTGTTTTAGAAAGAAGAAATTTCCAAGACTTTTGCTTTACTTTCTTAAGGACGTTATATATTTTTTGTTTTCTTACCACTGTGGCACAGCCTGGAGTTCCACCCAACACTCACTCCTCAGGTTGTCTGATGACAGATAAAATTTGGTACCTGAATGCAGGAGCTTAGCTGGTCTCATTATCAATAAATATAAGTTAATAAATTTATCAAATGGGCTCTTAATAGCTTAATACTTAAACCATTTGACTTCCTTGTGATGTTCTGTTCTCTGACGGATCACTGCACTTTGACATGAGTCCTGACAGAGTTTTAAATCATCATCTTCTCTCTGCAGACGTCATCTCTGTGATCATTCAGCCAAATCCCCTCCATGACGGTTACAAACCTTTTTTTTTCTACTGCAGCTAAATTCTTGCTTGTAAAATGTCAAAAACGGGAGCTGGATTTTAATAGATTCAGACATTTGTATTCACAGCGGAAAAGCCTGCAACACATTTCATGTCCTTTAGTCTGGCCACTCAAATAGCTTTATCATTGACTCGGGCTTTATTATTCTCTCCATGGCGGGCAGGATGGAGTTAGACGGGACATGGAGAGAATTAAAAGAAAGGAGGAGGAATGAAAAAGGAAGACTGAGTTTCTTTCGGGCGAGCTGAAAGCTGAAAATAAAACAGGAAGATTATAAAAGATGTTACTGATTTGTGCACTCTCATGCCTGCCTGACATTTCACACTCTGCTTATTACGCTGAATAAAGATGAGTTTTTAAATCTCTAAAGGCTCTCTGACATGGACAACTGAAAGACAAGAAGCTCTCAAAGTGTTTCTCCCTTTTCTTCTTTATATTTATCGTTTTGTTTCCCAATCTTCCTTTGCCCTGATTTTTCTTTCTTTTTTTTTTTCAATCTAAAGCTCTAAGAATTTTTATTTTTTAGCTCAAAGCCAGAGAGGTGATTGCATGAAGCTCCTGCTGTTTTTGTTGTCGAACTGAATCTGGAAGATTGTGACAGTTTGTTGAAGGGGTTCAGAGTCTGAACACTGATCATCAGTGATTAGAATAAAAGTCAGGTAGCATTTCAGTCTAGTCCTGAAAACAGAAAATAAAACTTTTTATATGAAAACATGTCTCAACAAAAGTTATTTGTAGTTTTGCTTATTTGACTCTGAGCTACCGCCAAACCAAATTTTAGCTCAATATCTGTTTGACGGAGTTCTAGCTATTTTCACTTTGGTTTATGTTAATTAGTTGTGGTGGCCATCTTGAATTGGACTCAGGGGCTTTTAGCTCATTTTTTGTAGCTAAAAGTTATATTTTAAAACGTTTTTGTTCTTTGTAAACAGTCACAACATTGTATGGCTCAGGAGGCACTATTTTATTTGACAATATGGCACTAAATCTGTAAATCGAATCACACTCTTACATTAGTCAGGAATTTTATATTTTTGTCTTTTGGTTGTATCTTCCTCTTCATCTCTCTTGAGTAAACCTTGTTTTTTTTCTACACAGGATCTTTTTTCTTTCTTCTTCCTTGGATTTGAAGCAGCAGCTTGTGGAAGCCATGAGTGCGTGCAGCAGGAAGGCTCTGACTTTACTCAGCAGTGTCTTTGCAATCAGCGGCCTGGGGCTGCTGGGAGTGGCAGTGAGCACAGATTACTGGCTCTACCTGGAGGAGGGTGTCATTACACCTCTGAACCAGACCGCCGTGATCAAGACTTCAATGCACTCCGGCCTCTGGAGGGTCTGCTTCCTGGCTGGTTAGTGATGTGTGTGTAGATATGTGGTTTATATGTGGCACAAAAAAGATTTGGGATGAGGCAATGAAGGGCTCAGTGTCTTGCTCAGGGAGATGACGATGTCTGACTTCATACTGGTGAAATCAAACCCCTGTGGCTGCTCCGCTACACATGAATCTCTGACCCAGAATCAGGTCATCTAGCACCACGTTCTCACCAAACATGCAGTGCACGTCCAGAGAGTTGCGACCATTGTTCAGACACACCTCAACCCAGACAAACGGCTCTCTGGCCCGAGTGGTTCCATCAGATCAGTCAGTTAATGATATCTGTGGGGGTCAAACTCAGTTTCTGAAGGGGGTCAAAATTCAAAACTTAGTCCAATCCAAGGGCCAGTTTCTGTCAGTATTTGTTTAAGAAATGTTAAATAACAAATTATTCCTATAAAAATACAAATTATCTTTTTCAAATTATTTTTTTATCTTTTGGAATCTATAACTTAACAAATAAAGAAAAAAAAGAAAATTATGTTTAGGACCCATTTATTTCTTATATTGTATATTTTTCTTATATATTTCCCTATCAGCAACTTTCTCATTTACAGTATTATATCTTAGAGATACATTTTATAACAATCCACTAAATCAAGTAAACAAAGAAACCCCGCATTAAAAATCTAATTATTTGATTTTGAAATAAGAAGTGAAAACAGAATAAAATCATTAAAATCAATTATCTGTTTCTCTTTCCACACCAAAATCAAAGATTACTGAACAATTTAAACTTTTTGTTTTCTTGGCTTGAAAGTTGGCCACCATTCATTTCAAAGAATTAACTAAATTCATTGGCAGAAAGAGAAACCATAAAACTGTTTCACATGAAAATTATTTTCTTTGGGCCCGGATAAAATATGAATGAGGGCCAGATTTGGCCTGAGGGCCTTAAGTTTGATACAGAATATAATGACTATCTGTTTGTTGACAAGTGAAGCAACTATAAAATAAAAGTAACAAAGAAATATTTTACAATTTTTAGAAAAAATGTCCACATTTTATCTGTTTGTTAAAGCTGCTTAAAAAACAACCAGATGGAATTTTTAGTTTACCTGCCTTTTTTTTCTGTGCCAGCTCCCAAATCTAAGAACCACTTTGTTTGATGAACCCCTGAAGGTGACCCTCTCTCTCCTCTTCCTCTTCCAGGGGACGAGTCGGGCCGCTGCTTCACCATCGAGTACATGATGCCTGCGAGCGTCCAGCTGACATCAGAATCCACAGGAAACGTGCTCAGTGAGTTCAAACACTCCGGCTGTGAGGAAAGAAGGTTCAACTCTATTTTTGTTTGTTTTCTTCTCTGAGTAAAGCTTGTGTTTTCTCCTTTGATTAAAAAAAAATCCTGAGTGAAAACTCTCATTGATGAGTCTGAGTCACCTGTAAGCTTGTGTTTCTCCTCTCTGCATCCTCACAAAAAAACCAACAACAAAACCTGCATGGTTCAAAACTTAATGTGACAAATGATCACATGATGAGTCATTTATTTAGATTTAACACAGAGGTTTGTTAGAGATAAATGTGCAAAAATTAACCCTTCACCCTGTCAGGACCTTTTTCTTTTTTAAATGGTGAGAAAAAAAGTTGTTGTGTCACCGCTGAAACCATAAATGTTTCTAGATTAATTAATAAGAAGTGTTATTTTTGTTGTCAGTACACAAGAATCCTAAAACAGAAACACTTCCTGAGAAAAAGACATGATCTTCAAAGGGTCAAGTGTCTTTGGACCACATTGGAGACAATCAACAGGATTTCTGACCTTCAAAAATCCAGAATTTACATATTTGTTCAGCTAAAGGTGAAAAACCATGGAGGCGTTCTAAATCATTGGTTCCCAACCTATTTTCCTCACAGCCCCTTTTCTTACTTCCAGGCCAAGCTGAGAACCCCCCAGGTTGGGAACTTCTGCTCTAACTGATCCACAGTGGTGGGCACAGTTCCCCTAAAACATAAAGCCCCAATAGGGGAACTAATTTCCTGATTAGTGCTTTAGGGCTTTTGCTAATTTTAAAATGTATTAGTGGGTTAGCACTTGCTAAATTTATAGGCTAAATTTAGAAGCACCTAACTGAGGTCTATAAATGTTATTGATCAATGTTAATGTTAACAGCTGATGGTGAAAACTGTTGCACATTTTGTTCATATGTGTGTCACTTATCCAACTGGTAACAATATATTGARAATATATGAACMCAAACATGGCTGTGGACTGTCAGTGATAAGAATTAAGAGAGCAACATTTTAATATGTGACTCATGTTGTCTGTTGAAGAATGTTCATGGGTTGACTGGGTTATTTTAGAGCTTTAGAATTAGCTTTTGCTAAAAATTTCAGTGCGTTAGTGCTTTAGAATTAGGGGACCTAAATATCTGCGTTAGTGTTTTAGGGCCAGTGGAACTAATTCTTAGACTAGTCCTGCCCACCACTGCTGGTCCATTATGGGTATTGAGTTGGTAGCTTTTAAATCTTATGTACTGAGTATGTTTGAGAGCAAATGTAAATGTGCACATGTCTCCTCTTCCTCCTCAGAGATGATCCGCTCAGCGACTRCCTTCCCTCTGGTCAGCCTCATTTTCATGTTCATCGGTTTTGTCCTGAACAACGTCGGCCACGTCCGCCCCCACCGCACCATCCTGGCATTTGTCTCAGGAATCTTCTTCATCCTTTCAGGTACGCTCAACTTTCCTGTCCTGTTTGTGTCGCCTCGGCTGTGAGTATTCTGTGAATARTGAGCAGACTGTCTGTATTTCAGGGTTAGCACTGGTGGTGGGTCTGGTTCTCTACATCTCCAGTATAAATGACGAGATGCTGAACAGGACAAAAAGCAGCGAGACCTTTTTCTCCTATAAGTACGGCTGGTCCTTTGCCTTCGCTGCCCTCTCCTTCCTGCTCACTGAGGTGAGGCGTTGACTCAAATCAACTCTTTTACAGTTTAACTTCAGCAAAACACCTTTTGTAACAATTAAAGGTAAAAAATACACAAGTTAGTCATGTATTTAGTACATTTTATTGTTACTTSTATATAATTCATTGTTCTTTATTAATTTTGTAATTAGTCATATTGAAAATGTTTTAATAAATTCTCTCTAAAGTGCTGCTTGACCTGAGAACTCAGTGACTTTCTGACCTCTTGTGGTTATAATTAGGTACTGCAGCCTAACTTCCTGACCTAAGATTCAGTTGTTTTAATTAAAAAAACACCTATTAACAAGAAGACATTTATAAAGAACAATGACATTAGTGAGCATGTTG